TTGGTCTTTGGACCTTCCTTTAGGATGCTATTATTACGGAGTGCGATTATTCACCTTAGTTTGGGTGCAGTATTGTCTCAAAGTTGATCAAAACCGACTTTAATGGCATTTTTGACCGTTTTGATCAACTTTGAGACAAGACTGCTCCCAACTAAGGCGCATAATCGCACTCCGTAACAAAGGCATGCTAAAGGAAGGTCTAAAGACCAAATGCCCGTTGAGAAAGTATTAAGGCCCGCCTCGGATCAGACGCAGAGGCTGCTTAAAGTCGGCCCAAAACATGATTTTTCTAAGGCTTTTTTGACCGTTTTGAATAACTTTGAGATAACACTGCTCCCAAACTAAGGCATATAATCGCACTCCGTAACAAAGGCATGCTAAAGGAGGGGTCCCGTGGGGTTGCGAAATTTTTCCTGCTCTTCAAACCGACAAGCGTATGCTCTAACTTAAGCATGCCTGCAAGCACGCTCTAGCTAGCGCCTGCCTGCCAAGCGTGCACACTGTGGCAAAAAGGTACGGAAAATTCTGTTAATTTTTTTGCCAGGATTCTACGTAGCCCTCTTTTCAATATTCTCCGTAGGCTCTTACAGTATTCTCCGTAGGACCGCACAGTCTTCTCCGTAGGGCATGGAAGACTGTATAGTCCTACGGAGAATACTGTAAGGTCCTACAGAGAATACTGTGCGGTCCTACAGAAAATACTGTAAGAGCCTACGGAGAATACTGACAAGAGGGCTACGGAGAATCACCACAAGCTGTTTACAGAATTTTCCGTAGCTTTTAGCCACAGTGCACTTACTAGTGCATACATGCTATGTACACGCTAACTGAAGCATGCATCTAGTGCATAATGGATAGGGAGTTTCCTGCATCAGAAAGCGTGTACATGGCATGTATGCACTAGTAAGTGGGTAAAATTCAAGGGGATTGACACGACCTGAACCTCATGTCGTCAGAACTTGATCAAAGTTGGCTCAAATGTTACCCCCATAGGGGTAAGTAAGCCCACAAAATTTGAACCCTCTAGCTCAACTAACATGGTCGCAGTGAGCAATCTAATTTTCGCCTGAAATTCATTTTTACCTTTTTCAGCAAAATGCACATTTTTGGAAAAGTCGTCGCGCTGGCCGCCCCGACGGCCTTTCCTCCGCCTGATCGACGTTCCTAGACTCAAAATTGTCTGGGGAATCCGAATCTGGCGTCGGTTTTCCGATAGCGGTCCGATAAAAATCCAAAAATGGCACTTTTTTACGGAAATTTAGTTATTTTAGGGGTTTACGCGACAGGCCGTATCCACTAGCCCCCAATCCAAACATGCCCGTTTCAACTTTTTTTCAGTTAAGGGACACCATAAGCTTAATTTTAAGATGGGCCCTGATATTGTGTATGGGTCTCGTTTAGGAGCTAGCCCCATGCCCAACTTTTGACTTTTTCCCTAAAACTTGTTTTTCTATGAAACCTTTAAAAAGGCATGGCCTCCTCAAAAACGTCCTAGGCGGCAAATAAAGTAGTCTAACGGACGCAGAATTTCCCGAGGATCACGATGCTGCACGTGCATTTGAGTTTTGGAGCCTCAAACACAGTCAAAACTCCAATAAACAACAAATTTATATTTAATGCCACAAAATGTTGAACGGCAATTACGACCTTATTCCCCGTCGCAAGGCCGCTTGGCCGTTGCCTACTCGGACTTCTTGGAGTTTCCACTTTGAGAATAAGCAGGAAAGGGTCAGCAGCCCACACTGGAAACTGCGGATTTCCCCATAAGGGCGAGGCACCGCGCCGCCCAGGTGGGCAACCAGTTTGACGCACCTCGGCCACAGGCGGTGGAGGTCGCGCGCGCCGCCCGGGTAGGCATGGGCGGTGGGCCTGACGGAAAAAAGCTGTACGTCATGACCAGATATTGAGCTTTTGCACAGTTGTAGTATGGACAGTGACAATTTTGGCTGGAGAGGCAATTGATTCGTCCCCTAGGATTCCAGTAATCGTCTATTTTTCAAGGAAATTTCGGGAAATTGCCGTTAGTCCGTTTTTGACGTAGCTACGTTTCCAGTGGACCGATTTCAACACGCGAGAATGCTATCCGACGTAAATTTTAACAAGGAATCTAAAACTGCATTCAGATTTAGCGTAGGTGAAATACTTTTGACTTTTAGGCCGACAAAGTTAGAATTTTATTTTCACAAAAGCTCGAAGTTTTGTTCATTGGCCCATAACTTTTATCCTCGCTGGATTTTGGGAAATGGCCTTTTCTAACGGCTGTAGCCTGCCTCTTCTCGTAAAGAAAGGAGCAAAAAACCAACTTGGTACCTTGAACGGTGCCTGAGATAGGTGGGTGCGATGCGCGCGCGGCGGCTGTAGGGGCAAGCGCGGGCCCGCTCGGCCCGGCCCTATGGCCGCGCTAGCCAAAAAAGTCGCACATTCAGTGATAGAAGCATGAAACTTGACAAAGACGTTCTCAAAGGTATAAGAAACGATTCTCTTCGAAGTCTTTTGGATTTTTTCGGACCGTTTGGCCAGAAACGTTCAATGTGTTCAAATTGAACATTTTTTTTAAACTACATGAACTGCATGAAGCTAGCTAGCTAGAGCGTGTTTGCAGGCATGCTTAAGTTAGAGCATACAATGTACGCTTTTCGGTTTGAAGAGCAGGAAAAATTTCGCAACCCCACGGGACCCCTCCTTTAGCATGCCTTTATTACGGAGTGCGATTATATGCCTTAGTTTGGGAGCAGTGTTGTCTCGAAGTTGATCAAAACGGTCAAAAAAGCCTTAGAAAAATCATGTTTTGGGCCGACTATAAGCAGCCTCTGCGTCTGATTCGAGGCGCGCCTTCGTACTTTCTCAACAGGCATTTGGTCTTTGGACCTTCCTTAAGCATGCCTTTGTTACGTAGTGCGATTATGCGCCTTAGTTGGGAGCAGTCTTGTCTCAAAGTTGAACAAAACGGTCAATGCCATTAAAGTCGGTTTTGATCAACTTTGAGACAATACTGCACCCAAACTAAGGCGAATAATCGCACTCCGTAACAATGGCATCGTAAAGGAAGGTCCATGGACCAAATGCCTGGTTGCCTACCCGGGCGGCGCGCGCGACCTCCACCGCCTGTGGCAGAGGGGTGCGTCAAACTGGTTGCCCACCTGGGCGGCGCGGTGCCTCGCCCTTATGGGGAAATCCGCAGTTTCCAGTGTGGGCTGCTGACCCTTTCCTGCTTATTCTCAAAGTGGAAACTCCAAGGAGTCCGAGTAGGCAACGGCAAAGCGGCCTTGCGACGGGGAATAAGGTCGTAATTGCCGTTCAACATTTTGTGGCATTTAACATAAATTTGTTGTTTATTGGAGTTTTGACTGCGTTTGAGGCTCCAAAACTCAAATGCACGTGCAGCATCGTGATCCTCGGGAAATTCTGCGTCCGTTAGACTACTTTATTTGCCGCCTAGGACGTTTTTTGAGGAGGCCATGCCTTTTTAAAGGTTTCATAGAAAAACAAGTTTTAGGGAAAAAGTCAAAAGTTGGGCATGGGGCTAGCTCCTAAACGAGACCCATACACAATATCGGGGCCCATCTTAAAATTAAGCTTATGGTGTCCCTTAACTGAAAAAAAGTTGAAACGGGCATGTTTGGATTGGGGGCTAGTGGATACGGCCTGTCGCGTAAACCCCTAAAATAACTAAATTTCCGTAAAAAAGTGCCATTTTTGGATTTTTATCGGAACGCTATCGGAAAACCGACGCCAGATTCGGATTCCCCAGACAATTTTGAGTCTAGGAACGTCGATCAGGCGGAGGAAAGGCCGTCGGGGCGGCCAGCGCGACGACTTTTCCAAAAATGTGCATTTTGCTGAAAAAGGTGAAAATGAATTTCAGGCGAAAATTAGATTGCTCACTGCGCCCATGTTAGTTGAGCTAGAGGGTTCAAATTTTGTGGGCTTACTTACCCCTATAGGGGTTACATTTGAGCCAACTTTGATCAAGTTCTGACGACATGAGGTTCCGGTCGTGTCAATCCCCTTGAATTTTACCCCACAGTCAACCGAGCTTGAGACGCCTGTGCTCAGCCTCGGGCCGGCCTCCCTCCCCTCCTTTCCTTCCCCTGCGCGTACGGATCTCGTCTTAAAATTTCAGACCACAGTCACCTGCTCTGCCGCGCAGCTCCCTTCACGTGTATGAAACCCGTCTTAAAAACTGAGACGAATGTCAGCCGCCAAACGCGTGTGGCGTTGGGTGTGCGGTGATGTGAGGCAGGAATATGGAATTCAGGATTGCAAAATGCCAACAAATTTTAGAGTCACACAAGGTGCTACCCATTTTATTTGAAAAATAAGAGCTAAATTCTACAAAATTGGAACTCATTCCAGTTCAAACAAATTCAATGGGTCTACACTGTGGCAAAAAATCACAGTAAATCCTGTAGTGATTAGTACAGCTGTCACTGTAGTTCAGAGTACAGGATTTACTGTACTTTTTTTTACAGGATCTACTGTACTTTGTACGGGGGTGGAGTGGAGTACGGAATATCCTGTATCAGGTACAATAAATGCTGTAACCAGGCACAGTAAATACTGTGTCCTGAACTACAGTACACTGTAAAAAATTATGTTGTAATTTAGCAGTAAATATGTTGCTAATTTTCTTAGCGATCAAAGTTGTTTTCAAATGACTTTCGTTGTTTACTAACGAGTTGCGTCGTTCGTCCACAAGATGTTTGTAAACCGGTAGACACCCTTATTTGCATCAATTTTTATTGCCGATTAGGTCACAGACCTAGTAGAGTCCCGGTTACCCCGCAGTAACCGCTTCTTAGATTGTCCGGGTTGTTTGTACGCAGCAAAATATGGTTTTGAAACAGCATAAGTCATAAAAATAATTAGCAACGAATTCGTCGTTTTAAAACAAGCAAACTTGTTCACAAACAACAGCGCTGTCGAGGTTGGTAATTGTGTTGTTGTTTTAAAACAACAATTTTTAACAGTGTAAATCCCGGCAAAAAAATTTACGGGATTTACTGTGGTTTTTTCACACAGTGTACAAGGAAAATGTCCTCTTGTACATGGAGACCAAACGAAACACACTTCAACCTACTAACATCTATCAGATCATAGTTTTCCTCACATTTAAATTTTACAAATCTTTCAATGTTTACAGTAAGATCGTCCGATTTAGACACAAGAGCAAAGTACTGTGCTGGGTCAGTGACTGTTTTGAGGAAAGTTAGTATTACACCATGGCTTATTCCAGTGGGAGAGGTGTATGCACAAAATGAAGACACTCTACTACCTGAATCATAGGTTGAACTGACAAACAAGAATTTTCCATGATACAAACGTGGGAAGGTCCTGAACTCAACAGGAGCAGGAAACAATACAGTAAGCAGATTGTGTATTTTAGCAAAATGTTTGGTGATTGTGTCCATCTCCCCAACAACATAAGTACGTTCACCAACTTTACCAGTGATATTTAGGTACTTTCTTTGCTTTGTAACCTTCAAATAAAATAATTTCACAGCATCACTTTTGACATTAGGAATGAGTGAGGGCATAACTGCCAATACCCTCATGTTCTGATAAATTTCTTGCACAGCATGCAGAGTGCCATGGACAAGGGCTACCATCTGACCATTTAAACCCTCAAGCACTGGTAAAACTAAAGCGTAGTATTACCCAATGTTTTCAAGCGTAATCAGGTTACGCTTGAAATCAAGCGTAACAGGCTCATCCGCCAAGATTCCCCCTATCTAAATGCATGGGGGAATTTCTAGTCTATGCTTGATTTCAAGCGTAACGTCTTCAAGCGTAGATTTACGCTTGATTCAAGCATAGAGTTACGCTCTAGTTTTACCAGTGAGGTCAAAACAATTTGTCAAACACAAATTACCGGTTTCCCTCACAGTTTCAGAGAGATGCAACAAACTATGAATATTACTTGACATGTACCTTACGCCATACAAATGCTCAAACCCCTTGCAGAAACTGTTAAGTCTTTCATCTGATAAATCCAAATCTGCATCTGATAAGCTAGATTTATGCAAAAGAGAAGATCCATTAACCAGTAACAAAAAATTCTCAAAGTATTCTGGCTTCATTACAGATCTCATAATAACTGGCGCAATGTAAAACAGAAAATTTCTGGCAAGAGAAGCTTTCCAGAAGGCAAGCTTTGTTACATCCTCCGGCAACCTCTGCACAAAATGAGGAAGTTGTAAATTAGTTAACATAGCGTTCACTCTGCCAGCATGTTGGTAGAGTGAAAAAGGCTTATCCTTGTATTTTGAGTCAAACCAAAGTCTAAGTAATTGTTTGGTGACCCCAATGGCCAAAGCGTGCATACTGTCAATAGACACAGACTGAATAAAACTGCTGTGTGTCATGTAAGCCAATATAGATGGCCCTAAAACACCTTTAGATTCCTTTTTTGTTCGAACAGCTTCCATAACAGATTCTAAATAGTTAGCATCAGACCGCCGTGTTACGTTTTCCTCATATAGAAAAACCATGACATTATCAGTGCGTGGAGACTTTTCTCCTACAATCAAACATTTAGTACAAGAGCAATACCCTGCATGACACTTAATATTCATGAAAGAAGCCTTGGCTGGACTATCAACACAACCAAATAACAAATATACTTTAACAGTGGTTTCATTTTCAGAATTGTGCAAACGAACAGGAAAACCTTCTTTCAGATGAACCATTTCTGTAAATAAGGGTAACAAAAACATATTGGGGTGGGGCTTATCTGAATCTCCCTAAAAAGCACCAATTATTATGTTCTCTGGTTTGTACCTTTATTCAGGAGGCAGTTCATTTATTACAAAAATAAAAGGCCAAAGCGAGTAAGAGCTGCATTCAAATATACTGACACCATCTGTGTACCAAGTCAAGCTACACTTTGGAGGTGCAAGTAAATGTTCAGATTCTTTATAAACTGAAGAGTCATAAATATCTTCAATATTATTATCATTTTCCTTCTTCCTTGTAGACTTGTGTGCAATTTTTTTCCAAAAACCCAGGTCTTGTATAAATTTTTTGTAGTTGCGGTGTCACCGTGTTGTACTACTCTCGTCGCTCAACACTCCCCGGAGTAAGCAAACCCTAGGGCAGTGTTACTCCCCCCACAGGGGGAGTACACTATCCCTAAGGGCAGTTGTACTCCCCCACCGGATGGGTCAGGGAGTAACATATCCCTAGGGTATCGTTACTCCCCGGGGAGTAACACAACCCTAGGGCAGTGGTACTCCCCCTTCCCGACCCGGGGAGTAACAAATACCTGGGGTTAGGTTACTCCCCGGGGAGTAACACATCCATAGGGCAGTGATACTCCCCCTTCCCGACCGGGGAGAATAACATATCCCTAGGGTTAGGTTACTCCCCGGGGAGTAACACATCCCTAGGGATATATTACTCCCCCCGTCGGTGGGGGGGAGTAACACTGCCCTAGGGTTGTGTTACTCCCCGGGGAGTAAAAGAAAGCTGCGGAGAAATTTTACTCCCCCATCACAGCTGGGGGAGTAAAACTGCCCTAAGGGTATTGTTACTCCCCGGGGAGTAACATTACCCTACGGGCAGTTTTACTCCCCCCCAACAATGCAATGAAACTAAACGTCGTTGGAATTCCGAAAGAAAATGTTGTAACTCGGACGTGTACAGATGACCCGGAAGGAGGGCAAACAATCGCACTGTACCCCCGTAACAGAGAAATAAGCTACAAAACTGATGAAACAAGTGATTATTTATTTTAATGAACAAGCACTGTTGAGACAAAAGTAATTTGACCAACTTATCATTTGCTTTAATGAATCACCATTTAGTCACAACTTTCACAAAACTAAGAAGTGAATCATGTACACAAATGTTACAAAACTGATAAAAAGTGATCATTTATTGAAATGAACAAGCAATAATAAGCATGAAGACACAAATTTTCCGTTAAGACAAATGATCCAAAAATGTTAAAAATAACCTATTTATCTAACAAACACTATTGAGACAAAAGTAATTTGACCAACTTATCGTTTGTCTTAATAAATCACCATTTAGTCACAAATTTCACAAAACTAAGAAGTGAATCATGTACACAAAATGTTACAAAACTGATAAAAAGTGATCATTTATTGAAATGAACAAGCAATAATAAGCATGAAGACACAAATTTTCCGTTAAGACAAATGATCCAAAAATGTTAAAAATAACCTGTTTATCTAACAAACACTATTGAGACAAAAGTAATTTGACCAACTTATCATTTGTTTTAATGAATTACCATTTAGTCACAAATTTCACAAAACTAAGAAGTGAATCATGTACACAAAATGTTACAAAACTGATAAAAAGTGATCATTTATTGAAATGAACAAGCAATAATAATATGCATGAAGACACAAATTTTCCGTTAAGACAAATGATCCAAAAATGTTAAAAAAAACCTGTTTATCTAACAAACACTATTGAGACAAAAGTAATTTGACCAACTTATCATTTGTTTTAATGAATTACCATTTAGTCACAAATTTCACAAAACTAAGAAGTGAATCATGTACACAAAATGTTACAAAACTGATAAAAAGTGATCATTTTTTGAAATGAACAAGCAATAATAATATGCATGAAGACACAAATTTTCCGTTAAGACAAATGATCCAAAAATGTTAAAAATAACCTATTTATCTTGCCTTTGCTCGTAAACGAGGACATAACTTCTCTCCGAGAGGAGAAACTCCTTGGTGGCGAGTGAAACCTTAAAAAAGATAACTATTTGTGTCACGTGGTAATGAACTTTCTAAATAAATCTTAAATGCGACTATTAATTACCGTTCCATCATTGAAGAGGCGGTAGCCAGTTGAGCACCTCATACCGCACGTGTAGTGCCCATCTGAAGCATTCGGGCCTAAATGGCTGATTTCACCCACAAAGTCATACATGTGAGGAACCTTTACGTTGGCTGATATGTAGTCTTTTAGATCAAGGTGTGTGGGTGCTGAAATGACTCAATAATAGAAAAAATCCATCAACTCACATCCTTTGTCCACCTTGCCACCTTTAAAGGAAAAAAAGAACTCTTGTAGTAATTCTTAAAAAAAAAACAACACACACACAAAGGAACCTATTATTTTATCTCAAACAGGATCAGTATCCTTGCTGAGTTTTCCTACTACAAACCTTTGTTGGTATATGATCAAAAATATTTACCTGCATTGTGGAAAAAAGTGTTAGTTCTATGAGATAACTAGCCTCACTCACCTATAGTCAAGAATTTCAGGGGTGGTCCTACCAGCTCTAACGATACTGTGGTGTGTGAGAGTCAGTTAATGCGCCTCCACTGCAACTGTTGTCCCCCCCCCTCCCCTCTCAAAATTCATACATTTTAACGCATGATTCCACTTATGCATTAAATCGTGCGGGTTGCACGTACAAAATTCTACTTAAACATTAAGTGTGTACCATTTGGAATTAACAACGTAATTTGCCTGTTCAATAATGTACAGGCGAAACATTACTGGGCCCTCGTCGGACCATATAGGGCTCCCGCTTAGGCTTAACAGTTAAATTTCGTACGTTCCTAGGAGATCTCTACACATAATTCTATATTTTTCTAGACATGTTAGGTGTATGCTAGGGGGCGTCATACTCAGGCGACCTTCGATTTCGGCTTGCGGGTGTGACTCAAAAGTTTCGTTTTTTAGTGCTGAGTTCAGATTCGTGTCGGGTTTTGCGATCGGACTGCGTCTTGATCACCCTACCCGACGATTTATGTCAAAAAGCGGCGAAAATTCGTTTTTTCCCATTGTTTTGCCCCCTTGAGTTCGGGGTGGCGGTTTCTCGACTGGATTGCCTTCACTCACTCTAGACACGACTTTTCCAACCACCAGAGCCCATGTGAGCCACCCCATTTGGAGCCTAGGCCTCAAAACATGCCAAAATTTGGTGAAAAAATGAAAATTTTCACCGTTTTTTCGACATTTTTGGGCCATTTTGAGCCTCACATCGCCCCCTTAGGTGACCTGTATGGATAAAAAGGAGGAAGGGTGTGTAGGGAAGGCAGCCCAGCGCCGGGGCATCGACCGGGGTGTCGTGGAGGGCGGCGTTGAGTCGGCAAAATACAGGATTTTTTCGAAAAATTGAAGAAAATGGTCTATGCAGCCGCTGTAGCTGTGGCAGCGAATGTGCAGGTTTGAGCTCGTTAAGCAAGTTTGCTGTTCCTACCCAGGGCCCACCACGAGGAGGTGCCTGCACGTCGAGCCCCGCCCGCCCACCCACCCGGGCGTAGCGGTTAGCTGCGTATAACGCAGTTTTTTCGGCCATCGAAATACAAAGCTTCTGGTTGAGAGCACTCCGCCAGACCCGCAGCATTGACTCGGCTCCTCCCAAGACCCCCCATTTTCTTCAATTTTTCGATAAAATCCTGTATTTTGCCGACTCAATGCCGCCCTCCACGACACCCCGGTCGATGCCCCGGCGCTGGGCTGCCTTCCCTACACACCCTTCCTCCTTTTTATCCATACAGGTCACCTAAGGGGGCGATGTGAGGCTCAAAATGGCCCAAAAATGTCGAAAAAACGGTGAAAATTTTCATTTTTTCACCAAATTTTGGCATGTTTTGAGGCCTAGGCTCCAAATGGGGTGGCTCACATGGGCTCTGGTGGTTGGAAAAGTCGTGTCTAGAGTGAGTGAAGGCAATCCAGTCGAGAAACCGCCACCCCGAACTCAAGGGGGCAAAACAATGGGAAAAAACGAATTTTCGCCGCTTTTTGACATAAATCGTCGGGTAGGGTGATCAAGACGCAGTCCGATCGCAAAACCCGACACGAATCTGAACTCAGCACTAAAAAACGAAACTTTTGAGTCACACCCGCAAGCCGAAATCGAAGGTCGCCTGAGTATGACGCCCCCTAGTGTACGCTACACCGTGGATTGTCGCTGGACCGCGGAAGACGAGGGGGCAACCACTCGAAATTTTTTTGTACCCAGGATTTTTTAAGGTGCGAGATCGCGGACCGGGGTCCAAGCAACGGCTAAAGGAACTTAGACCGTTGTATTGACCGGAGTCCTCTCATGCGAATACTCCTTGCCATTTTCGTTCAGGCAGTTCAGGCAGTGTAGCACTTTCCCGAGAGATGGTACCACAGTCGAGTACTTCCAAAAAATTAAAAGTCCTTGTTGGGGGTGGAGAGTCCTATCCTCACTGTGCATCATCTTCGTGTCAATGCCGCCTGATTTGGCAGTGTAGTTGCCGGTGCGGGCGAGGCGAGCACCGGCACCCTCGTCAAAGTGCACAAAGACAGCTTGACAGGTGCCACTCAGCATGGGCACATCAACGGGTGAACTTCTGAGATTTCAAATTTATCAAATCAAACTTGTTTTAGCCGTTTTCCTCGTCTCATCGCGGTGCCAGGGGTATATAAATTTATCCCAATAGTGCAAAATGAACGGGTAGTGTCCGCGGCCTAATCCTGTTGTTGGCCCTTCTGGGGCTGCCCCAGTGGCCGAGCGCGCTGCCGGTCCTGGGCTGCGTCTCCAGTGGGGGGAGGGGAGGGGGCAGACAGAGCGGAGACAATAGATCGGAATGCAGCGAGGTGTCCATCATAAACGTGTCGCACCGACTCGGCCGTCCTGCACGCAGTTCTGATTCTTTCCGCCGCGCCACCCTCCAATGCCTCAGGATTCGACCGCCAAATTCAAAACGCGTGAAAAGGACGGAAAAATGAGTGAAACGGCAAGAACGCCTACGCAAAAACTATGATAGGTACAGTGAATCCGAAAACGGATCCGCACTCAAAAACTGAGATTCTTGGAATAAGATAGGCATACTTATCTTTAGTATATTTTAGTCTAAAATACGAACCTAGTATAATATACTTAAATTAAGAGGGAAATAGTCTTAGTATATTTTTCTTATGCGACACTCTTAAATTAAGAATGTGTATTCTTGTTTTTAGAAGGCTGTTTTCTTCACTCATATTCTAAACTTTAGTATATATTTCTCACATAATGCTGGTCACCAGCTAAATCAATTTAACTTCCTGGATCCGTGGAATATCTAAAATTATCGCCTGGGTCCCTCTGACTACGCGTCGAATATCAGAGTGCCCAGATAGCAGATCAGCACTATCAAAAATTCTCCTCACAGTGACCATAGCTGGTGACCCGTGGTGCTGACTGGAGTGGCAGAGCCCCTGAACCCTATCAAGCGACGACCCGGAGCCGTGCGTGAGAGCGAACTTATACTCACATTTATTGAGCTAATATTGAAGCGATAGAAATCAATTTTGCCGTGGGAGAGTCATTGCACCTCAAACGTTTATTCTGTATAGGTTTTTAATAAGAAGGACACCATATTACGGCTGCAAAAGCACTTTTTAACCCAAGACGTAAATAGAGCGACACTAGCGCCACCTAGCGGATGATGACAATACTATCCATTTTGTAGCTCTAGAATATTATTTGTTTGGCTCCGACTGTACTTAACAAAAGGGTAACTCAATAGATTACTAGTATTTACTTTGCTAATTTCAATATGGTAGAGAGATTTTGAAAAATAGAAAATATATAATTAAGCACTAATAATTTTTATAGATCTCTGAAACTTAAAGTTGCATTAAAGTAATTCTTTTCACACTTGTTGTAGTCCCTAAGACAATAATCTAAACAGTTGTACTTCTAATGATCATGGAAAATTTGTGAAGTGTAAGATTTAACTTTTCTTTTGGACTTTCACGACAAAGTCAGTTTACGTCAACTTGTCGCAGACTTTTGGTCACTTTGTCTGAGGGATGTACTGAAATGAATTCAATTCTGAAACAGAATTCCACTTGTGGTATAGCCACCAGTGTCAGTTTTTACACCCCTCAATCATTGCCAATGTTTTTAGAAATTTGTGTGGGAGACGACAAAATTTCTTCTACGTAAACCTCAATCGTTTGAAAACTTATGAAGCTTCAACAATAATTCTGGGTTCATCTCATGGAAAACTAATATTTTAAAAGATTAATTATTTGAAAAGGAATAAATTTAAAACAAACCTGAATGTCTATCCAAGGACAACAGTATTTCAACTTAGTTTGCAGTGAGTGTGTAGCATAAGTATTCAAATTTCTGAGGACATTGTACAAGTTACAATGCAAACTTTCTAGTTATGAGAATAAATACTGAATGTTAGTATATCGATAAGAGGATTTCTTTAGAGTATGTATTAGTATGGAAATATACTAGCTTTGAGAATATATACTGAAAGTTAGTATACTGATTAGAGGATTTCTTTAGAATATGTTTTAGTATGGATATATACTAGATCCAAGAAAGAGAGTTTTTGAGTGCGTGTAGGGGAAGGGTGTCCGGAGGGCAATTGATCAGTCCGAAAGTGATCCGACAATTATTAGTGCCATTGGGGTAGCGTCAAAGAAAAGAGCGAAAGTAGTCGGTTTTGAACACCTCACCAAGCGTACAAATATTGATCGCGCGACTCCCAGCCTGATCAATTGCCCTCCGGACACCCTTCCCCTACACGAATATGCTTTTGGTTTCCAGATCAGTCGCATAGTTAAGCCGTAGGCGTTTTTTTCCATGAGCGCTGTTTTCACACTTTCATCGTTCAATATTTCGGCTCAAAATTTTTTGTAAAGAAAATCCTTTGAATGGGGTGCTTGTATTGTCGTCCTTAATGAATGTACAAATTTTGAACGAAATCGGTGACCCAAAATTTACGCGATCTAGCACCTTAAAGGTAGGGATTTCGTCGAGATTTTGCACGATTTCGCGTCTAAATTATGCCAGATTTCGTAACATTTTGGTGGGATTTCGCGAGTTTTCACCAGATTTTGATGCGATTTCGTGAGATTTCACCAGATTTCTAGGAGATTGCGCCAGATTTCTACCGATTTCGCGCAAGATTTCGGCGAATCAAGTGTACACAGTACCTCGCGAGTGGTTGCCCCCTCGGCGGAAGCGCACTACGTATCCTTAACTGACCGGCCTGCAGACCGAGTCCGAGCAGTGGGTCGTCGCTGTCTCTCTTGCAGTGTTACGGGACGCGTGCACTCTTACGCGACACCTCCCCAGTTGCGAGTGCGAAAGAGACAGAGTGTGCGGATCTCTCGGCTGGTCCTCAAGGCTGTCCAGTCGGCGGCGGCCGCGCGGGATTCCTGCCTGCACGCCGCGGTCGCAGTGACGCGCGCACCGTCGGAGGCTGCGCGTCGTGCGTCGTGATCCGAGTGACGACCAGCGTCGGTGGTCCTGGCCAGTGCGTCCTGACGCGTCCTGCAGCACGCTGGCACCGCGCAAGAATGGGAGTACGTGTCTTGTTTTCGTTGCGGATGCGAGCGCATTGCCTGTCGTGTCCGATGGCGAGGCGGTTTGCTATGCACTTTGGGGACTTTTGTGCAGACTAGTCGGAATTACGCTGTATGACTGTGACATCACTCGGGTATTTACGGCATGGAAATGCTACATGTAGTGGTTGCATAATTGCAATTTGGTCACTGTTGGGCCCAGAGTGGTAATGTGTTACTTCTACTTACTAACTGGTGGTTCATATTACGCTTTTACGGTAAGTGGCACAGTTTTTATGATGCAATGCCTCTATGAAACCAAACGGTGAAAAGTGCAACACGCAGTGCAGTGGGTTGCCCTAGCGGAATTTTCGGGACGTATTCCGGACGTCCCGAGAGCGTCAGGTTTTTCTCATTATGGATGGTCTCAGAACGCGCCGGCTTCGTCCATGGATCGTCCCGCATGTGTCCTTACGTATCCGGAGACTCAATCGAGGTGTCCCTCCCGCATCCAGAAGGTATCGTCAGTGTCCGTCCGTCGTCTAGACATCATCCAAAGCGTATGCTGACTGTCCCAGGTGCATCCCAAATGTATCCAAAATTAATCCACAATGCATCACATCCGCCTCCACTCTCTATCCCACCCCATAGGTTTCACAATCTGCCGGACATTCCAAATAACGTCCAGTGCGTATCCGCTCCATGCCAGATGTATCCTGAATGCATCCGAGGCGTCCTGAACGCATCCAGAGGTACCCGGACCGTCCCAGAACCATACTAGATGCATCCCACCCGCTTCCAGCTGTCCGCACGGCGCCCATAATGCAGCCGGGGTGTTTTGAGCACGTCCAGAAGGTATCCGGACCGTCCCAGAGGCAACCCGAGTGCATCCAGTCCGCCTCCAGCAGTCCTCTCGGCGTCCACACTGCAGCCGGGGCGTCACGAGCGCGTCCAGAAAGTCTCCGAACCATCCCAAAGGATCCCGAGTGCGTCCCACCCGCCTCCGTCCGTCCTCTCGACATCCAGAATGCATCCCAACCACATCCATCGCATCTTGAAAAAATCCAAAATATTTGAATCGCATCCAGATCGCATCCATTGCACATGCGAGGTGTGGTAAGGGTAGGTGCCGGATGTCGTAGTGATGCTTTGCGGATGACCCCTGTGCGCTGGATGAGTTAGACGACTTCCGGATGAGGATGCGATGGATCTTTCTTGTGGACTGGCGTCTGGAAGTGCTGGGTGTCTTCTTGATGTGTGATGAACGTCTTGAAGTGGTGCTACTTTGCCGGGAGTTGAACCCGGTCCCTTCCGCTTGCTGGTCGACTGCTTAAGCCCCTCGGCCACCGCTTCCTTCTTAGAGGAGAAAGAACTTTGAGTACTCTTAAGCTTCATGCAAAAGTGGCATCCACCCAGCATCCTTGTCTCGTCATCACCACGAATCACGAAGCATCCCCAAGCCATCCTCGCATCCTTGCCATCTCTGAGCCAGCCGCCTCGTATCTCTGCATCCACGTAAGCAAACTATATCACAACGGCGTCCTAGTATCCAACCGTTTGACACGCATCCCTAGCGCGTCCATGCCGTCCGTCTTCATCGCGAAAGCATCCATCGCGACTGAATAGCTTCAATAGCATCCGTAGAGTATCCAGACGACCCACCCTCATCCTGAGCGCATCCGTCGGCCTCCAGTCCATCTCAGCAATCCATTTGGCATTACGAGTGCATCCAGGGCGTCCTGTAGGAGTACAGAGCGTATTCAGACCGTCTACATACAACGCACCCAGGATGCGTCTTAAGTACATCCGACGCATCTTTGATGCATCCAAAAGATGTCCAGTGCATCCAAAATGCGTCCAATAGACATCCAGGATACGTCCAAAGTACATCCAACACATCCAGAAGGCGTCCAATTCATATCCAACGCATCCAAGATACGTCCAAAGTACATCTAACACATCCAGAACGCGTCCAAACTACATCCACCACATCCAAATGGCATCCAAACCACATCCACAACATCCAGATGGCATCCGAATCACATCAGTGACATCCAGATTGCATCCGAAACGCGTCCATGGCATTCATTCTGCGTCAACGCATGTTGGGAGACTTTTGGATGGGCTGGATGTGATTTGGACGCGTCGGAGACCCATGTTCCGACCACTCTTTGAAAAGGTCTCAACAAGATCTATTCAAATCAACAATAAAAATTTTCAGTTGGTCACCCCCCTTTTTTCAAGATACTGATTTTTAAACTCTATCTTGAAAAAAGGGGGGTGACCAACTGAAAATTTTTATTGTTGATTTGAATAGATCTCGTTGAGACCTTTTCAAAGAGTGGTCGGAACATGGGTCTCCGACGCGTCCAAATCACATCCAGCCCATCCAAAAGTCTCCCAACATGCGTTGACGCAGAATGAATGCCATGGACGTGTTTCGGATGCAATCTGGATGTCACTGATGTGATTTGGATGCCATCTGGATGTTGCGGATGTGGTCTGGATGTGTTTGATGTCTTGTGGACGCACCCTGGATGTGTTAGATGTCTTTTGGACGCATCCTGGATACGTTGGATATCCTTTGGACGCATCCTAGATGCGTTGGATGTCCTTTAAACGCATTTTGGATGGATTGGATGTCTTTTGGATGCATCCAAGATGCGTCGGATGTACTGAAGACGCATCCTGGATGTCCTGGATGCTTTCGGAATGCCTTTCGGACACTCCGGCTTCTCTCAGGACGCGTACAGGACGCCCCGGATGCATTCCGGATGACGAGAGGATGGCTGGAGGTGGACGGTATGCATTTCGGATGCCGAGGGGACGGTCCGGATGCGCTTTGGACGCGTACAGGACGCCCTGGATGCACTCGGGATGCCAAATGGATTGCTGGGATAGACTGGAGGCCGACGGATTCGCTCAGGATGAGGGTGGGTCGTCTGGATACCTTACGGATGCTTACGGTACGTTGCAGACGCGCTGGATGTTTTGGGGATGCTTTGCGGAAGAAGGCGGACGCCATGGACGCGCCAGGGATGCGTCAAACGGTTGGATACTAGGACGCTACTGTGATTCAATTTGGCCACGTGGATGCAGAGATACGAGGCGGATGGCTCTGAGATGGCAAGGATGCGAGGATGGGTTGCGGATGGTTCGTGATGAGATACGTGGACACACATGGGACGATTTCGGAACGCAGAGATGCGGTGGATACGTCATGGACACCTTATGTTTTTCTGCCTGGAATGCACAGGATCTAATCTTGATGCGCGTCGGACGTCATTGGATAAGTTGGACGAAACTAGGATGGCCTGCAGGATGCGTGGATAGCTGTAAGATGCATCTAGTAGGTCGTGGATGTACGGGATGGCAATTGGACGAATCCTGGACGTCCTATTCGCATCCAGCATTCCAGCAGGGTGGCCACCCTTAAAGAACACATGTACGGGTATTTAAGAATCAGGACGACAGGGCAGGCTTCAGACCATACTTGATTTCAGTAAATTTTATTGTTCACATTTCGGACTGGAATTCCGTGGTGGATTAAAGGCAGTTCAGAACAGACCAAAGTTACTTCCGATGTGTATCGCTACTTTTCCTGTTGGTCTCACACTGTGGTCCACGGTGCCTAGATGTTTCGGAGCCGGAGCCGGCGGTTTGGTTCGAAGGGCTTCGTGTTGCATTTCGGCCTGTGCTTCCTGGCCTTCAACGTCGTCCGAGGTAAGGAAGACTTAAGTACGGGCAAGGGGTCTGCCACGACGAAAATTATGTACTTTCCGGCATTGGCAATACCAATAGCCTGTGTAAGTTAAAGGACAGGTTAAGTAAAGGACACTCTTCTGGAGCTGACATTTTATCTTTAACCGATCCCTGGACCCTGTACTTTTGTAGGCCGTGTAGGCCTTACAGTGTAAGGCCTACACGCACTGCTGCGGCGTTTTCTGTTAAAATTTGAAGATTACTCTAATACCGTTCTATCTGCCAAAATTTGAAGGCCAAGACCGCCGGCGTGCCACATTTTGTAATTCTCAGGGGCAAGCCAGGCCCCGGAGGGGATTGTCAGTATGCATGTATAGGCAGACCCCTTGAGGTTAAGTGAGAAGTGCGAGGAGTACTCTACAAACTGAAGTATGTACTCAGTATGCATCTACAGGTGCATACTTGCAAGTACACATCTACAGATGCATACTTAGCTGAGTTTACATCTACAGATGCATGCTCAGCTGAGTACACGTCTACAGATGCATGCTTAGACGAGTTTGGTATGCATCTGTAGATGTGTTCTCAGCTGAGTATGCATCTATAGATGTGTACTTGCAAATATGCATCTGTAGATGCATACTGAGCACACCTCAGTTTGTAGAGTAGTGATGATCGTAGAGAGTAGAGTGTACTATCAAGACGCGTTACGTGTTTCCCGCTGCCACCAGGGGCCCCGGTCGAATGCACGGAAGGCAGTTTCCAGTGCAAGGATGGCGCTTGCATCCCCGCAGCCCACCACTGCGACGGCTACGACCACTGCGGCGACGAGTTCGACGAGGACCCCGAACTATGTCGAGGTACACTGCCGACTAAACTCTGGAAACCTTACGAATTTTTTCAGGCCTTGGACACTTTGCCGGAAAAGAGTTTCAAAACGAGATTGTGAACTTCACGGTTGTAAATAACAGAAAACATGAGCCGTAAGTGAAAATTTACGTCCAGTATCGTCTTGAATGCTTAATTTCTTTCTTGGCCTGAATCGCAAAACCCGTCCGTCATATTTAACTCGCGTATTTATAGAGATCGTATGCAAAGTTTAAATCTCATCCATCCAGTGGTCTCCTCAGAAAAAAGGAACGCAAGATAGACAGAGTCACGCCCAATGGATTCCCGACCCCAGTTAACGGGATGGGCTTCGCTGTCGCTCAGCCAAAAATCGAAATGTTTCGATGTCACTCTAGTACACGGTAATTATTTGCAATAAGAACAAGTCAGATTCTTAGCAAGCTTACAAACACATGAGCTCGTAAGGAGTGAACGAAGGGACGGACCTGTATGGAACTTTTTCAGGGGCGATGAAAAAGTAACGCATATAACGGTATTTCCTCTCTCTCAACGTGTAGAATACATCGGCCATCGTTAGCTATGACACGCCATGCTCTTTTCGGGCTGCATCTTTTATACACACTTAAGTTAGTACCAATTAAGAACGACTTTTGTATTTCAAAGATTTTTTTGTTGTATTACAAAACTCTACGTTCAATAAGACAAATCTTTTCTTCGTATCTTAAATGAAATTATGTCTTTTTTCTGATAGGTTTTGTCACGGTTTCGGACTGCACTGCGTCTTTAAATGTTTTGAATTACGGAGAAATGTTTTGCAATACAAATCAGCCAGCTTTACATATCTAGGGTGAATTATTTTACAATACAAATGCACACTCTTTTCTAATAACACAATAGTAAGTTTTGTTATTCAAGATTCGTGCAAACTTACCTTCAGTAGCCTAATACAAAGGAAAATTCCTTGTTCAAACCGATGACTGCTTGAAGTTCTTCAGCAGCGGAGAGACTGAACTTTTTGGCTGTACTTGAAATCATAGTTTTGCCCGGCAGGACAGCAGCCGCACTTCACCTGTAAAAGCGGCAACTCCATTGCAGCGTCCGCCCACTGTAATGGCTACGACAACTGCAGCGACGGTTCGGATGAGGACCCGGCAGAGTGTGAAGGTGAGGCCATGTTTCCGGGTGGCGTCACTCTGGCAGAAGCTGCACCCTTCATCGATGAGAGTGCAACTTCTGCTAGAGTAAGCTGCCCAAGGATCCTTCAATTGGCATTTTGTTACTGTTCACTGACGTTTGCACGTTAGTACTTCGGAGGGAGTCAAAACAGCGACAGAACGGGAGAAACAAAAGAGCGTCGCCCGGCCGTGCTGGAGAGTGGCGGGGGCCGTGCTGGGCACAGTGGGGTTCACTGATGTCCAGGAAAAGTAGGGTCAATACAGCACACAAGAATTAATGCTTTAAAATATTAAGTTGAATTTTAAAAAAATAAAGGGATTTTTTTTGTACAGAATACAATGGTGTCTGCAAACCAATATCAGACACAAGCAAAAGGCAGCAAAAAGGAATAAGTCGCACACATCATCAGAGGATCGGCGGGTCACAAGATCGGGACAGTCTCTCAACGACTCAGTTCACAAGCTCGACCATGTGTCGCGGAGCTCTGCTCCCTCCTGTCACCGGAAATAGTGACAAGAAAGTTCTAACGGTTTAAGCTAAATGCTGCATTTGAAGAAGCTTTAAGGAAACACTTGTAATGTTTTTGCAATCATTTTGATGGCAACTTACCTTCTTGTTGTGTATTTGGCCATAATGGGCAAGAGGAGTGGTTATTCAATTAAGTGACGTTTGAATTTTCATGTTCTAAAATTAAATGAAGTTAGAACAAAAAACTTATTTTAAGAGTACCATTTCTCTGTTTGAATCAAAGAGAACTGCAAACATGTGAGTCCATACTTGAATGGTCTCTAAATGCATGGTATCGTTCATCCTCAACACGCTGGCAGCTGGGCCATTTAGCGGAGAGGCAGCATTCGGTTGTTTTAGGAGCGGGACCTAGCTGCCTCTTAAACTTGAACCAATCTGGTTGCAGGAGCCAGAAGTAAGATAATGAAACACCAAAAGCACATTTTTGACAGGCAAATGAAACATGCTTTTAAGCAAATTTGCAATTTCTTACCATTCACATAGATTTAAAATATTCATGCAAAGCAAACCTTACCCGCGTAAGGGCTAACGTTTGGGTGGTAAACTGGTGTTTCCAATACAACCTAAAAGAAAGAAGAAATCATCATAATACGGGGGTGACGTGCGCGCGCCACCTTCGCCCCCCACTCCGCGGATTTCAACCCCCACCGCCGCTCAGCACGGCTGCGCGACGCACTTTTGTTTCTCCCGTTCTGTCGCTGACTTCTGGTCTCGGTTTCATTGAAGTACCCTTGAAAAGAAACTCAACAGATGCGTCCAGACGAAATCAATAATGAAGTTTCCGAGGGGGCAAAAACTCGCGCAATCATGTGTACACGGCCCCCGAAATCACATGCGAATCATTGAGAATCACGCGAAATCAAGCAATCCGAAATCAACCAAAATCACTAAATTCGACCGAAATCAGGCAGAATCACACGAAACTAGGCAAAATCGGTCCGAAATCATTTCTTTCCGAACACAATCACACACAATCACGCTCAACATCACCCTGGTGCGTCGCGAAATAAGGCGAATCAGCCATGAAATCATTGCGTTTTCCGAATCATGTGTACACCAAAATCCCGAGTTTTTGCCCCCTCGGAAGTTTCTAAAACAAATGGAAATGATAATACGCTCGGTTATAAGTGCGCACAATCGTCGATACGCTGGGAAGGAAAAACTCAGTGAGTCTAAGACTGCAGTGAACACGCTGCTGGTGGCCGCGGGGGAGGTGGTGACGGCGCGCGTGCAGCACAACGTGAGCCGCGGCTGGATCTACTTCACGCTGTGCGACGACAGCTCGTGCAGCTCCATCGACGTGTACGGCACCACGCCGCACGGCCTCAAGTACAAGACGTGGACCACGTGCAGCCGGCTTGGCGCCTACGGCTGCCACTGGAGCAACTGGGTGAGTCAGTACTTCAGTGCACGGCGTAAAAGGTTCCTGGTTTTTCCAGGAACTCCATGGACATTGGTTATGGCTTTCCTAAGGGCTACCTGGAAATTGCCGTTTGGAATGTCTTGGCACGCGGGGGGAAAATGCTTTGTTCACTCTCAGACTGTTATTGACTTTTTCGAGGGGTCCTATTCTAAAGATCTTATCTGGGCGTTCCCCCCAAGACAATCTTATCTTAAACGCCTGCAAATTTCACTCATTTTGATCATTGAGAATAAATACGAAGGTAGGCGAAACATTTCTACATGCACTTTTGGTTTCTTTGATCTTCCATCTTAAGGTTCACTTGAACATACTCACAAATTATACTGATATGTAGCTGTATCAAATGATCAAACTATGTGAAATTCACTTGCGTTTAAGATAAGATTGTCTTGGGGGGAACGCGCAGATAAGATCTTTTGAATAGGACCCCTCGTTTTGTCTTCAGTTAAAGAGTAATTTACACGGCAATAAGAAGTACTATTTCCTCAATACCTATCTAAGATTCTGTTCCTTATATTGACTCAAAGTCAGTTTGCTATTGACAAAGAGTTAGTACGCGATTGACTTAAGGATACTGTAAAGTGAAACTAGCATGTCCTAGAAACATTTGTCACAGGAAGGTCATTTTGAGGTCAAAATTCAACCACTATTAGATGAATTTATTCCCAAAGTTGGGGGGCCCCAACTCTTATTAGTTTCTGAGTTATGGAGGTTTACGTTAACTTTTAGAACGCAACCGTATTGCAAATCAGTAGTTCGCATCTTCGCAATTTGCGAATATCCTGTTACTATTGCTAACCCTTGCAAACACATTGTTCGCAAAATTGCGAAGTTTGTAGTACAATCAAGCTAAGCCCTTCACAAGCTGCAAACCAAGGTTTGTCATGCGAACACATTCTTCGCACTGTTTTGAGTGTGTGCCCCCTTCAGCCGATCGAGGAAAGTTGATTACAACAATTTCAAGAGAATACTGATTACGCTTGAAAACGAAGGGTAATACTACGCTTTAGTTTTACCAGTGTTAGCGCTGGTTTATCCCGGATGGGACGGCTCGTTTTCCTACGTGCAGGGCAGATTTTCTTGATGCACTCTCTTTGAAAGATTCTCCAACTGTCTCTAGCACCGGCCTCCTGGCGCCACACCCCTCCCTACCGGCGAGCACGTGTTTCTGGTGGAGCGTCGGTCCTCGGAACTGGCGCTGTGGCCGCAAGGGCGGCCCGAGCTCGTGGTGACGGTGCGCATCAAGGAAGGGTATGACCGACTCCGCATCAGGTACTTCCGGTGGATGAAGGACATGCCGCCCGTGCAGTATACAGGTGAACCCATCCACACGGCAAACTGAAATGTGTCGTTGGTATGCGTCTAGTACTGTATACTAGAACTCAAAATTAATAGAATACAATTGTTTAACGCAATAGGAGGAAAACTCTGGCAGCCCGCTACGACTGCTGACTTCGAAGCAGACCTCAAGGGTAAGTCATGCCTTTGAATTGCAGAGGGGTGTTTACAAAACTTACAACCGAAGCTGCACATCTGGAATTCGTAGCTAATTTTCACTTGAATCAACTTGTTTCTGTATTCTGTCTCCTTGTGGAATGAGGGTGAAAAAAAAGCAACCGAGCTGTTGTTCCCTTTGTCATCATTTAGCTTATGTTCTTCACGCTGGAGTCTTGTAATTAGCTGATCCATGGTCTTGTGAGCCGCTAAAGGAGGGTGGGGCACCCAGCGACACTTTTAAGATTTTGGCACTCACTCCGATACTCTGCGAGAAATGAATCTGCCTACACTTCAGAAGCTTGCTTTGATCCTTCCTTGTCCACGAAAACACGGTGTTGCTTTTTGACAACACCTATTTCTATTATATAAATCACTTCCTACATATCTCTGTACTTGTCACTTGGTGCCCCAGCCCGGGGCACCTAGTGACAGGTCATATAACTCACACAACCAGCATAGAGCGGCGCTCCACCTAATAGAAAACAAGGTAGGTGTACGCCAGATCGTGTCTTTTCAGGCTTCGTGTCAGGCTTCGCGATGCTGCGCCAGTTTCGACAATCCACGCCAGACGTATACACCTACCTCGGCCTGCGGCGCTAACCTGCCTTCGGCTGCTTTGCTAGATAAGACCGTAGAGATGGGCGTGATCCCCTCAAAAAATAGCATTTGGTCATCAAAATCTACACCAATGAGACCTAACTGTGGGTCGGGGACCCGAATGGGTTCTATTTTCGTCATCAGCAGCCTCAGAAACAGAGGAAACGACATGCAACTTGACAAAAGGCTGAAAGTACTTAAAAAGTTGTCTTTTTCTGCCGTTTTTAAAGTGTTTTTTGGCTGTAATGACCACATGCATTGAGAGAAAGCTGAATTTAAGTGTGTGGCGAGCTGAGGATATACCTGGGCCATACCACGCCAAACCACCGAACCCCTAAAATGACCTATTTCAGATTTAACTTATTTCTGGTTGACTTGTAGGGACCAACCCCCCGAACTCCCAAACCAAAAGATTTTGAAAAATATCAAACGGTTTAGGAGTAGGAGCACTTTGAATATTGAACTTTTTACTTAAGTTTTATTTCACTTTTTTCATGAAAAATTTTTTTTGAACGCCAGTGAGGGTTTTGGTTTATGATTTCCTTTCTGATAAGTCTGAAGAAAGGTTGAAGTGGGTTAAACACTGTGGTGCTTCCAATTAAGGTATTTTTCCTTAGGGAAATTAGTCAAAATTACTAAAAATTTGCTCTACTGAAAATACGTTGTCATGGATTTGGCTCATTTTTTGGTCAAATGAAGGTAGTCATTGGTCGAACAAATCTCTGAAATAAAACCTTTGACTTGGGCACATATTCAATTTAACAGGAAGAAAAGTTGAAATTTCACTGGTAACGGTTTCCTTTAAATGGCCTGAGCACCAACAGTTTCTTCTCGTATCAAGTTCTAGGACTCAAAATGATATGAATATAAATCAATTTAATAAGTAGAAAGGAATCATGTGTAACTGTTTATGAAGGTTTTATAGCATGAATTGGAGTTTGATACTACCAGTGAGTTACGTCGAAATTTTAGTCGTTATCTCCAAACTTGGCTTCCTATACAGCAATGCGCAATGACCCTGCAAAATCTTAGCCGAATCGGCCGAGCCGTTCAGGAGGAGTAAAGCGCACACACACGCGCACACACAGACAAAACTTTTCAACCCCACTGGAGTAACGGGCTTCGCTATCGCTCAGCCAATTATCCGTTAGCCTCTTGAAGCTTTCTTTGTGCCACACCATTCTGAACTGCGCCAGTTTTTCAAGGAACTGCATTATACTACATTGCCAATCAAATTCAATGTTCTACGAAATTGTCGTACAAATTAGTCTCATTTATGTTTCGTTGTGTGACAATCTGTCACAATTTACTTCGCGGTTGTCAAATCGATGTTTTACAACGTTTAAATCATTGAAATACGGCAAATTGCGGTTTTTCGCCCCTAGCGGTCGAACGATCAATTTCACACACTTAACCCCTATATTGTTTTAACCGTATCCTCCCGTTCGTTGGAATGCACCATTCAAATTTTCAAAATTCAAAATATTTAAGTCGTTTGTTGCGTGGATTCTGGTGCTGCGTTTCCGCCTTTAAGCACAATGCGGGAATAAACGATAGGGCGGCTGGTCGAGCGTTGCATATGAGAAACTTTTTCGCATAGATCCTTTAATATTTAAATCAAAAGTGACAATTTCGTCAATTACCAATGCACATGTGTTAATAGTGACTTCCGACACACTAAAATTAACATCATCGGCTGTCACGAAAGCGTATTTTGGATTTTGAAGAAAATTTTTGTAAGACGGCTTACTAGAGACTGTTTAATAATACAAGTGCACCGTGTTTTCTTGTAATACAAAATGATAGTTACATAACACAAGACTCCTGCATGGACCTTTGTTTAGTAATGTAAAGAAAAATCCTTAGTTCATACTGTTGTGACACCCACACACTAAATTACTATGTAGGTTTCTCTGCGCGCCAATGCACGAAATTTAACAGGCACTTTGTAACGCACGAATTTGTGCGCGACAATGCACGATTTCATGAGCCAGTATGCGGAAAATCGAGCATTGTCCCGCACAAATTCGTGCGTTACGAAGTGCACGTTTAATTTCGTGCATTGGCGCGCAGAAAAACCCACATAGAAATTTAGTGTGCAAAATTTTCACGTGGTGAGGTTTCCGCTACACTGCAAGTCGTTCCGGTCACATTTGATGGCAGGCTGCGGTGGTGCGCGGTTCTTCGGACCTTTGGTGTCGGGCACTCTGGCGCGTCCGGAGTACTTCCCCTGGCACGGCGCGCTGTATCAGAAGGTCCACGGCGAGTACAAGTACCTGTGTGGCGCCTCGCTGCTATCCGCGTCGGCGCTCATCACAGGTGACTGACTATACGAAGAAAAATCCACACTTTCGCAGGGAAAATGTACAGAAGAATAGAATATGGAAGAACGGTAAACCGTACGGAACGTCCGTACTTGTCCCATAAGAGCTCCTGTAATGAAACTGGTACGGAACGGATGGTCGAGACAAATTGTGGAACAGACTTTTCCCGTACTTTCACCGTATACTTTTTGCGTCCAGTGTATACCATCACTTTAACGACAAAGTAAAAAGTTGCAATGTTTCAGGGGAAAACATTTCGAATAAAAAGTGTCAAAGATCGTCCTCCAAAAAATCTTCCTGGTCACAAAAAGTGATCGGATTAAGAAAAAGTCGTATAGTTAGTGCTTCTAGCTTGTTCTTCCAGGCTTCTATTCAATACTTTGTTGCTTCCAGCGGCGCACTGTGTTCAGTCCAGAGAAGGGAACTACTACGTTGCCATCGGGATGCTGACATCAGATTGGAACAAGGATTCAGTTGGGGTCCACAAGTCCAAAGTGAGTGCCCATTCCCAAGATCTTCGAATGCCACAGGGGAAATGGATTTCAAACTTTGTGTCAACTTTCGTAGAGTCGTCACCGAAATTAAAACACACAAATTCGGAAGCATGGCGGTGCTGTTGTTACATCTTCCTTCGCCGTTTCTTCACCTGATTTTAACCTTCGTGAACCTGGCAGGTTTCGCAGGTGATCATCCACCCCGACTACTACGGCCTCCGCGGCAAGTACGACGCCGACCTGGCCATACTGCACTTGGAGAAGCCGGCGCCGCTGGGCCGTCGCATCGGCACGCTCTGCGTCTCCCGCGCTGAGGGCACCTCGCTCGCGGCGGAGGACATCATCACCGTAAGGAGGCGCACTCTTAAAACCTTACCAAGTATTTTGAGCATACATACGTGCAACCTAATTCACTTTGTTATACGAAGTAACAGTTCGTAATTTAGGAAGTATTTTCTTTGCAAGCTTATGTATGCTCAAAATACTTTGTTCTAGCAAACTGCTTTGCTTTGTAAGGCCTGAAATAGTTTGTAAGGTTTTCTCAGTGCATCCTCACCGTGAAAAAAAAATGCTAACGAAGAATCGGCTTTAAAAACTTCAAAGAAAATTAACACAGCATATTAGATGGCCAGATTGCTTGCCTCAAAATTAGCATGCCGTAAATGCCAAAAATTCTTCACCAGCTTGCCAGTATTTGGTGCTACGGCCGCCTGCAGGTACGGCGGAAATATGTTTTACCGGAGGGGGGGGGGTGTTACTTGGGTCTAGGATGCCACAAAATGGCAAGACTGCTGTGCGTCTGACCACGGCTCATTACGGCCTTTACGCGATGGTTGAGAGACTTTTGTGTCTCACCATTTTGTGGCGAGACAAAAAAGTGTAAAAAGTGTAACAGCGCTTTCAGGTCTGACCAAAACATGGCGAGATGTCTCGTCATATTTTGGCGAGAAGTATTTCCATCCAATTTGCAGAGCCTCAATTGGCTGTGCCCTACAGGAGTAGCGCTGACACACAGACACTCAAAGAGACAAAACTTTTCAACCCTGCCCGAGTTACAGACTTCGCTATCGCTCAGGCAATTGACTTCATACGAGTTACGATAGCCTCCCGGCTTCCAAGCGAAGCGAGTTACGATGGCTTTCATAAGAGGGGTTGAAGAATGCATTGTTAGTGTGCATTGTGAGAGGGCAGGTTTAATGTGGTGCGCATACTTACACGAGGGGCCGCTAACTCTTCGTCCCTTTTCCGCCTCCCTCGCAGGTGGCGGGCTGGGGAAACGGGTCCGCTGTGTTGGACGAGCTGCACTTCGCCGAATTGCCGTTCCTGCCGCGCCGCCAGTGCCTGACTGCCATTTCGGAGGCGGCCGCGTTCGCCGTGAGCTACCTCACCAACGACAAGTTTTGTTCCGTGCGAGACCGAGGTAAGCCCTGCTCGCCACTCAGTGGCGAATCCAAGGAGTTGGACCACGGGGATCAAAAAGTGAACCCAGGTTTGAGTAGATCTCAAGACAGTACTCTACAAACCGAAGTGTGTACTCAGTATGCATCTACAGATGCATACTCATAAGTACACACCTACAGATGCATACCTAGCTGAGTACACATCTACAGATGCATACCTGTTAAGTATGCATCTGTAGGTGCATACTTGGCAAGTATGCATTAGTAGGTGTGTACTTGTCACCATATAAATGCCCAGTATCAAGTACACATCTTCAGATGCATACTTGGCTGAGTACACATCTACAGATGCATACTTAACAGGTATGCATCTGTAGATGTGTACTCAGCTAGGTATGCATCTGTAGGTGTGTACTTATGAGTATGCATCTGTAGATGCATACTGAGTACACACTTCAGTTTGTAGAGTAGTTCTTCGGCGATCCAGACACACTCTCAGGCTCGTAGTGACTCAGAGTGCAGCTTTGTCACTCTTTCTGCTGCTCTTAATAATTTGTTATTTTGCGAAGTCCGGGTTAGTTTTGAAAAGTTGTTAAGTGTGACCGCAGTGGCGGATCCAGAGGCCGAGGGGGAGGGGGGGGTGTAAGTATCACTTTTTGCCTGCTTACAGGCGCCAAGTAGCACTTTTTGCCTACCGTTCAGGCGGCTATCTAGGGGCTATGGGGGGGACCCCATCGTATCACTCTAAATTACTATGTAGGTTTTTCTGCGCGCCAATGCACGAAATTAAACATGCACTCCGTAACGCGCGAATCTGTGCGTGACAATGCACGATTTCGCGCATTGGCGCGCAGAAAAACCTTGTCGACAAATTCGCGCGTTACGGAGTGCATGTTTAATTTAGTGCATTGGCGCGCAGAAAAACCTACATAGTAATTTAGTGTGTATGGCCCCATTGAACCCTTTTGCGTTTGGAACTGTTCCATTCCGTGCGCTCTGCTCCCTACAGGCGTCATCCTGAAAGGCGACAGTGGCGGCGGCGCAGTGGCCCGCCACCTCGGCGTCTGGTACTTGGTGGGAGTCGTGTCTAGCGGCATCGACAGCAGCCGCATCGTCGCCTTCACCAACACCACCTTCGGCGAGTACGCGTCCTGGATCGACTCGGCGGTGCGCTCCGCGCCGCAACCGCCTCGCCCAGAAGCCACCGAAGTAACGACGAAAGGAGCATCCATGTCTTCGCCATCGACACCTCGCCCAAACTTGACGAAAGGATCAAATGTGTCTTTGGCAACGACACCTCGCCCAAACTTAACGATGTCTTCGACAGCGACACCTCGCCCAAACTTACCGAAAGGATCAGATGTGTCTTTGACAACGACACCACGCCCAATCAGAGCGCCACCTTCGTCGCTTGCTGTTCCTTGAGGTGAAACTGCTAATCGAAGTGTACGAGTGGAGGGGGTCCTTTCCTGAAGACTGTATTTAAACGTTTCCGGATAAAAAGATCATTGAGGAGAGTGAGGCACATTGGTCTGGATGTTTTCCTTTTGGCTACTAGCAACGTATGTGACGAGCAATAAAACTTTTGTCTTAGCCAAGTCTTGGTTTGGTTCGTACTTTACCTCAGGAAACCGGTTCCAACACTTTCCCGAGCATGCTGGTCGCGAAAAGAAGAAAACCCAGGAGGCCTACAAGTGGACCAATACGCCCCGGCCCGGGGCACATTGGGCTGACCTATGGGGCACATAAGTGGGCCTCGTGTGAGAGGGACGCAGAGCGAGCGCCTGGTGTCCCCTGGGCGGCGGCGCGTGGTAGCTTGCGCGAGACTAGGCTTCGGTATGAGAAGAAAATCGTGCGCTGCTCCCAAGGCGGGAAACCCGGCCGGCCGGTCTGACCGCGACTAACTATCATACCCAGCCTCGCACGGGGTTTCCCCGGGGCGGGTTTCGCCCAGGGGACACCAATGCGTTCTGATTGGCTGCCTCTCCGCCGCTCTGCGTCCCTCTCACACGAGGCCCACTAAGGCACATTAATTCGTTGCTTCTGTCTCCATGTCATGCAGAGCACTCATAGATGAGTTTTGAGATAGGTTAGTTTCCCCAGTTTAAGCTTTACCTAACCTGACCAAACCAACCTAACAACCCGTACCTTACCTCGCAGTTAAAAGAGAATTCGACTTTGCAACCAACCTTGGCTCGAAAACGGCCTTGCGAAGACTCGTAATTCTCCGTAAAAAAAAAAAACAGATTTCACTTTCTTGAGATTTTTGTGTCAAACCCTTTAAGGGTAATACTTATGGCCGAAATTCTCTTCCCGATCATGTAAACCTTGCCCTTTTCTGCCGTTTTGGCGTGTTTGTCTGCTTACTATAAATGAAGAAATTGAGATAAAAACGATTTTTGACGTGTGGCGAGCCAAGGACATACATACACATACCCAATGACCCTGGAAAATCTCAGACAGACAGGCAACGTTCTTCAACCCCACTGGAGTAACGGGCTTCGTTATCGCTCAGCCAAAAACTTTTTTTAATTTTTTTTTTTGTACAGCTGTTGATAGCAAGTAATTATGCATCTCCATGAGGGCTAACATTTTTCCTTCCGCAGTGGATGCATCCACACTGCAATGTTTTCCAATCAAATGAATTGTCCTTAAGGCATTTTCTTCAAGAACCTTAAGAGTGTAGTAGTTTAAAGTCAGGTAATCAAACAGCATCTAATAGGTATTATAATATTTTCATAATGATTCTCTTCATAGGATAATCAAATCAAACCAATACTGAATCTTGCATTTACCATATCAGGATCTTTTAAGTGAGGATATAATCTTGTCACCTTACAGCTCGCTAGAGTTCTGTATCTCTCTCTTCGGATGTCCTTCGTTCACTGAGAGGTTGTACGTTGAGGATCCACACCACAACCTTCTGCCCCCCAAACGGCATCTACAACCTCAGGATGGGTTGTGGATGCGCGAAGGGTCCGCACGGCTACCTGCCCTCTTGTTATCCATTGACGAGGCCGTGACAACCTTGTGGCTCCACAACCATGTCCGCGTGCTCGCCCCGAACGGCTCCATGCCTGCGTGACCACGTGACACAGCGCGGCGGGGAGGGGGAAGGAGGGAGGAGCGTCCAGCGGAGGCAGCTGCCGGGCGGGCCGGCGGCGGATAGTTGGCGCTACTGGACCCGTCTCCTCTCAGCCGCCTCGCTAGCGTACCGTGAAACGGGGTAACTTCGGACACTTTTGAGAGGTTGTTTTAGAAATTGTGAAAGTTGTCGTGTTGTCATGGACTTGAGGGTCAAAGTTTATCATCTACCCACCTTAAGCTTCGATTTGGCGCTAATTTCAAATATCTGCGCCTCACCGTTTTTATACACTGGAGGGTCCGAAGCAGTGTCCCAAATTACCCCGTGTTTTGGGGTAATTTCGGACACCCCCGGAAAAAACGACTTTTCGTTCTGATTTTGGTTTCAAAATCGATCGTTGTCTCTTTCTATAGTGCTTACATGATTATATGAGAAATTCGTAAGGGCTGAGATGTGGAGGTATGGTAGGGGTGGTCGTTCATACGTAATTTGAAGTCATGGTTTTGAACTTGAACTAATAGTTCGGCTTCAGGGAGAGTGGGTCGAACTAGTGGAGCTACAAGGCGGCTTATTTTTAAAAATTTGACCGAAAAGCTTTTATATGCAACTCGGGCCATACTTAACGCGTAAATGAATCGTAAATCTTCCTCTTCAAGATTTCATACGATTACATACATGCATATGAAAAGCAAGTAGTCGTGTCGTATGTACGGTTAGGAAGATAGGGGCTCACTGGGAAACCTTTCATTTCAATTGTAGTAAACCGGCGAGATATGCTGCCATTCGCTAAGTCCAACTCTCATGTCACATGAAAAAATTAGTCACAAAACAGTCGTTGACATCGAGGCAGGATATGTACATGAAAAAAAAAAGGATTACAGATGTAGCCTTGCCCCTTTTTCTATGAAAGTCAAAGTTCACAAAGCAACCGCTGTGGCAATGGGGATTATCGTTGTTATTGGATTATCTTCACCTTTTAGAAGAGCTCTTCAGCTTCCCCTACTCAAACCCTGCGCAATTGAAAGTGTTCAGAACATACCTACTCTCCCTGGCGTGACGTTTATGTGTCCGAAATTACCCCGTAAAGTAACAATTTTTCAGTTTTGAGCCCACACTCTACCAAAAATGTCCTGTAAATGCCGTTAATTTATTACCAGTTTTCACTGTAGGTCAATTCACAGCGTTTGCTGTGAACTAGTTCACGGCATTCACTGTGATCTCGGTTACAGTGTTCACTGTGATCTGGTCCCCAGTAAACACTGTGAGTTTGACGCTGCTGAGCACCGAAATACTGCAAATCAGGCTCCAATTCACGGCGTTTACTGTGGCCAGATAACAGTGAACACTGTAACCGAGATCACAGTGAATGCCGTGAACTAGTTCACAGCAAACGCCGTGAATTGCATAACAGCAAACATTGGTAATAAATTAACGGCGTTGACAGGACATTTTTTGGAGAGTGCACACCAACCAAACTATTTGACCAAGATGATTGAAAATTTGACACAGCATGCTCTCAACATGTTCGAATCGACAAACAAGCACCTCATGAACCGCCCATTAACAGTTTCAGCTTGCCAAAGTTTTAACGTTTAAGGCGAATTTAGGTAAAAAGTGTTAAATACAAAAACCACTCTATCTCTTGAAGTTTGCTCTTGTTTTGACCTCCGGGTGAGTGATTGGATGTTTTCAAATGAGGCCGATGCGATGCGCGCAACGGGACAAGCCTCCAAGTTGGCCGTTAGATGGGAGCATCATCGCCTTGCTTCCGGGCAGAGTTCTCCGAAATTACCCCGTTTCACGGTAACGGTAAAGCGCCGAGCTGGTATCTACCGGCCCGGGTACGACTACAGACGACGCTCTTCCTACAAGGTAGGTATACGCCAGACCGCGTCTTGTCGTAACAGGCTTCGCGATATCTCGCGGCCTGTTCCTCCAATCCGCGCCTGGCGTACCTACCTTGGCCTGCGGCGCTAGCCTGCCTTCGGCAGGCATTGGCTTGTCCATCGTCGGTTACTTCTTACGTGTTGCATGCTGGGGGGCTCCGCCCCCCAGACCCCCCTTTATTCTAGAAAGAGTTGCTTCATCTACAGATAACACGATCTTGACCCTTGTAACTCTTTAACCTGTCGAGGCTGGGGGGCGGAGCCTCCCAGACCCCCCTTTCTTCAAGACAGAGGTGATCTACCTGCAGAAAAATCGATTTTGCGCCGTTTTTTAGGTGTTTTTCGGCTATAAAAACTGAACTAGTTGAGCTAGGATAGTGAAATTTCGCGTGTGCCGAGCAAAGAATATACCTAATAAGCCTGCAAAATCTCAGCCAGATCGGCCGAGCCGTTCAGGAGGAGTAGTGTACACACACAGACAGACAGACGGACAAAACTTTTCAACCGCACTGGAGTAACAGGCTTCGCTATCGCTCAGCCAATTAGTCGCTGGCGCGGCAACGTAGCTGTCACATCCTCGTCAAACCCTCATTATCCCTCCGTCTCTCTCAGACGGCATCTACAACGCCTCTTTGCCTTGAGGATCCTCAACGTGGAGGTTGTGTCAGGAAGTCCAGCCTTTTCGTTGTGGATCCACAGCGTCCAACCTCACAGTGTTCCAACTACAAGGTAGGTGTACGCCAGACAGTGGCTTGTCGTAACAGGCTTCGCAATGCTTCGCCAGTTCCGACAATGCCAGGCGTTTACACCTACCTTGGCCTGCGGCGCTGCCGTGCCTGCGGCAGGCTCCTTCCCTTGCTAGACGGTACACGAAGGGTCGGAATAGGTCCAATTTTCGTCATCGGCACCCTCAAAAACATAAGAAGCGACGTTAAACTTGGTACAAAGTGGAAAGGTGCTGAGATGTTGCCTTTTTTGATGATTTTTAAGTGTTTTTTGGTTGGTTTGACTGAATGGTTTGAGAGAGATGGAAGGCGTGTGGCAAGCCAAGAATATACCCAATGACCCTGCAAAATCTCTGCCAGTTCGGCCGAACACATCTGCTTCGAATCACGATTACATTATTGTTACTTGACAAGGAAGTTGTTATAAAACGAAAGTGTTGTTTCTGGATGGGTTTCCCGTTCAGACACAAAACAATACTGTTATTTAACAGCATTACTGTAGGTGATTGTGTTGTAACATTAGTGGATTTTTAACACTGCAGGCAGGACCGTGGTTCAACTTCTCCAGGCGGCGGCGGGCGCTCTAACGTCATTCCGACGGGAGGCCAGCCTCGGATCATCAAAATCTATCATTCGGAAACTTTTGTTTTTCACTATCTGGTTGCCGGGTTAGTGATGTTCTAGGGTTATCGGATTCGGATGTCGAGATATCATCGGCGCCGACTGTCGTCTGATCGTGGAAGTTGTGCCATTTCCGCGGGGGGAACTCAAGCGGGGGCCCTGGCGACGCCTTAGTGCTTGTTGTTCTGTTTTGTTGTTGCTTGCCTACCAGATCCTGTCGGGCCAACGTGAAACGCTAAAGCCCCGCTCAATCAAAACTGCATTTTTTTAGTAGAAAAATT